CGAAAGCGGTCCCGGGCAGCGCTGCAGGGTCTGTACCCTGTGTCTGCGGTTCAGGTGAGCTCCGCACAAATTCCCGTTCGGCTGCTTTTGCCGCTGGATTCCTGTAGCTGTTGCTGAGTCAGCCCGCAACAGATGGGAAATTTGTGCTGATCTCATTGATGGTGTTGCAGAGGACTACTCTGAGCTTAGAGCTGGGTGACAAACCTTGGGTATTTAACAGACTAGTCGTACAGTTACGTGATAGGTAATTGTTCTGAAGCATTACATACGACTGGTCTAGTTTGCTTTTTACACTGGTTTGGAGGAGTTGCAGCTGGGTTTTGTTTGTATTTTGTGTTCTGTTTTGATTTCCCAGGTCGAAAACAAAGGCAAGCGGGATTTATAAAGCACCCTTTTTGTACCACCATTTTGAAACTTAGCAGAATTACTTCAGTGTTAACTTTTGGGTTTATATTTAACGTTATGTCTTACTAATTTCAAGCTATGAGTCAGTGTAACTGTAAGTATTTCAAACAGAAATATGAGCTCATGTTATGCATTGACTTTTTTATTTTACACCACTGTAATGCAGAATCAGTGTGTGTAATCATGAATATTTTCAAGAAAAGTCAACTGCATAGCAAAAACCACCATGTACTTCAGGCAGGTTAAACTAACATGAAAGCTTTAAAGAATCCTTTTAGATTAGGAGTTAGTATCATTCAGTTAACCCCAAGATCAGCCATGAGGCATCCTCTATTTCATAGCAGCAGTTAATAAAAAACCTAAGATATTATGGATAATTATTTTCATAAATTAATTTGTGCACTTTTTTCCTCTAATTGATTTATGTGAAGCCATTTTACTGTTTTTGTGTAGAAACGTGACAAATAATTTCTGAAAAAAGATTTTGAAATCTTTCTAGCCCTACTAGTTTATTTATTTTTTTCATGGCCAGATAATCATTCCAACTCTCAGAATTAGTTGTATTACCTGTACTACTAGTACGACTCTGTAAAAGTCATGTAGTAACTGCTAGTTCTGATTTTCCTGAAACAGAGTGACATTCAAAAGTATTTGTATTTTCAAAGAATGTTGTTTTGCCTTTCCTATTTTTTGTGTTGTTTTGAAATATTCAGCACTGAGGTATTTCTCTGGTAATGTTTTTCTAATTAAAAAATACCTTCCATTCTGCTGAGGAAAAATGATACCACTTTGGTACAGCTTGGTGGCAACATAAATTTACAAACCAGAATGTAGATTATACTATAGAGGGAAAAAGAAGGGTTAACTACTTTATAAAGGAGATGTTTGCTTTTGGTTTTTAATTTTATTCTTAAAAAGCTTTCTGTCAGGAAATGAAATAATTTATTCATAAAGAAGGCAGTCCTCTCAATCGTTTTCCGCACTTGGTTCCATGAAGCACAAATGTCTGTCCACACCTTCCCTGTGGAAGGATAAAGAGAAATAGATCAGTGCTATTGGTGCTCATGTGATTGAGATCAGCGCTGGTAGGAAACCAAGATGATTCTGGTATCTTCAGGAACACTTAATCAGATAGTTTTGCCTTGTTATTTTCTTCATTGAAGTTCAGCTTCATTTTTGATGTCTGAGCAAGAAGAATAATACCAGAAGCCCAGTGGATGGATTGTTACTTTTAAAGCAATGCAAAGGGATTTTTTTTTTAAGCCACTTTGAAGTGGCAGTGTGTACAGCTCTCAGTCTTCTATGGAAATCTTTAGAGTGCTAAGTTGGTACATGTAAATACTGAATTACAGATTGTCTCTGTTAACCAGACTACTATTAAGGATTTTTTTAACTTTATAATGCAGTTTTGTAAGGTGTTTTTGTGTAATGAGAAAAGGAAACTCCAGTTATTAATGCATTTAAGAGAGAATGTTACCAC